CCAGTTGGCAGAGTCCACCATCACTATATACGACTCTGAGTTCGCTTCCATCCAAGCCAACACACCGCTGTCGGTGATATCTAAGAAATATTTGTCCAATGTACTCCAAAATTATAAATTAAATAAATAATAAATACCACAATAATCTACATCAAGATCTATATCCATAACAATCATTTGTATTATTATACGACCAAACCATAATTATTTATTAATTGATCAATCAATATCTCAAAATATACATACAGTTTTGTTGACTTTGAGTCAAAATGTCTCTTTTGAGATGCCAAACACTCATTTTATTTATTGTGCACTTGTGCGTGGGATGGACCTCGCTCATATAAACTGAATCCCCACCTCGCACAGAATTGAATTTGTTGGGATTCAAGTCAGATATAAGTGTTGTTAAGTTATTTATAGTGAACGAGACAATCAAAACAACTAAGTTGACAACAATAACAACAAACTAATTACTGTTGATACCAAAAGAAAAAGACTGTGTTATTTGACAATGGACAATTTAGTCAATCATACACATCTTGATATTCGTAAAGATGATGAGGTGGATTGACCTTCATAATCCAACAAATATCCAAAGAGTATACATGTAATAATATTTTACCGGAAGTTTGGATGTAGTACAACATGTCATGATGTGGCACTTGTTGGGGATCGGCGAAAGATTTTAAAAATGGAAAGATCTTGATGACTTGTGTGTCTCTGAGGAGATGATCAAACTGTTTGGCATGATGCATATGGTTAGACTGATAGCCTTCACCATAACATGTTGTGGTGTTTTTTTTTCGACCTTCATTCCGTTATGATGATGGTTCACAGGACAAAGCCTAAGGACACACTCGTCCATTCTTTACAAATAAGGTTTAATCAAACAACAGATAATAAATATACATACTTATATATATATAGAACACAATAATTAATCATTCATTAAAAGGTTCACTTGCCTCATCACCATCATATCATGGTAGTCTCACTACGCACTTTTCCGATATTGTCGGTGTTGCTTTGCATATGCACATTCTCATTGATGATGTCATCAGTGAACAGTCAAAGAACAATAGATCCTGAAGAATGTAGGTCATCATTATCATCTGATCAGTTTGGAAAACTTACTCACTCACTCCATCGCGCAATCAAACTCACTATGTCAGACAAATCATTGTTATGGTTGGTTAACCTGTTTGATCAGAATGTGACTTTGGTCAATCCATCATGTGCCCAACTGGCGAGTTCTTCATCAGGGGCAGTTAGTTTGCAATGTTTGAACATAACTGACACAACTGAATCACTCTTTAGCATGTAAGCATTATTATTATCATCCCAAAAGTTAAGGATATTCACTAATTCTTTCATTCATTCATTGTACAACAACAGAAATATGAATACCAATATTCCAAAGGGACAGAAACTACCCCTGGAGCCAATCGACAGGTTATATTTTCCAAACTTGTTTGCTTTTACATTATTGGCAGGTAATAATAATCCTATCAACAATACTGCCAATATCCTTCAGATGTTGGACAACGATGCAAACATTAATCTCAAAAGGATGTCGTAAGTATTTATTTATTTAATTATTTATTTTATTTATTTATTACTAATAATTATTAATTATAGGATTAATTATTTTTATATTATTATACCAAATGGTTTCCCAATCTATTTAAAACTTCAGAATCTGTAAGTAATGACAACCATAGATTTATTTGATTGATCAATACTAATGTTCTTTACTTACTTCATTTCCACCAACAATATATAGACTTCTTGGACAAACTATCAAAGGTGATATTCCACAAAGTATGTTTGATAAGATTCCAGATATCAATATTGCTGGTTCTTATGTAGATGACACCTCCAGCCAGGTATATTTCGACCCTTCCTTATCCTATCCAAACCTAACAAGATTGTAAGTACAGTCAGTACTAGCTCTCAGGATACAAGACACATATATTAAGCAATCGATCACAAAAACAACAGGACATTAAATTATCCAAAAACACCGATGGCATTCGCAACATTCAACTTTACACCAGAGAGATATCCAAATCTTCGAACTCTGTAGGCATAACTTTCCATCATCAATCAATCAATCAAATAATTACTAATCATCCAAATTCATTCAATCATTAGTTATCTGGCTGTGAACCAGGTAGTTACTGCTTATTACCAAGTTCCTAAAGTAGACACATTGTATGTTATGTTATTTTATTGGTTAGTTTGTCAACAATCTGGCCATTAATCAATCACCAAATTGACCAACTAACTAAATAATATTTACCAAACACTTCCATAGTTCACTCTTTACAACAACAAACTCTCTTGAAATGTCCAATGTGACCCTCGTGGGTGTAAGCACGGGCCTAATGACATTGTTAGTATCTGATTGGTTGAGCAGTGTTTGTGAGAGCTATGACTAACATTACATTATATTCACTTAACTACACAGGAGTGTTTCAAAAGGAAATATATTCCCAAGTGATCTGACCAATCAACCTTTATTGAAAGATTTGTAAATACTGCCAACTCAACAATTCATTCATTCATTCATTAATTCATTCAACAATGCTAATCACTGATCATAATTAGGTATTACAACACTTATACAGTGCCCATTACCAATATGTTTGATATGTCTACTGTGTAAGTATGATTGAGTTGTTCACAATAACTCAATCACTCACAAATCAATACAATACAATACAGGTCCATGCTTAATAGAGTTGGAAAAGATAGTCTTACAATGCCTCCAACAACTTGGTTCTCCAAGAATACCTCGGAGTCATTCTCAACTTTGTTTGTGACCAACGGCACAATGGCCGGTGCCATCCCCAGCTACATGAATGTTTCAAGTATGAATCTCAAGGACAATCCCAATCTAGTAGGCCCTCTGTTAGAGTCACACTGCAGACTTACCTTCTTTGATTTCCGCAACACTGGCATTCAAAATATTCCCAATTGTTACTTCTGCTATTGGAGCTATACCCAGCAATACTTTGTTGGTAGCCAAGTGCAATTCCCACAGAACTTCAATTGCAGTATGTATCAATCGTATCCAATCCCCGTTATTCAATCATACACTAACACTTCTCGCCATATCAGGTGTCAGTTTGTCCAAAACATTCTATCTCATCAAGGATACTTCAAAGAGTTTCTTACTACTTGGTACCAATTTGGGATTCAGAACACCAACAACAAACATGTCAGAAGTTAGTGCCAGTGTGAAGGTTGCTAACAGTCAGATGTCGTAAGTACATTCCATCCATACACACACAAAGACAACATCAAATAATTAATTAGCGATATCCAATATTATCTAGTATTTCAGCAATCGAGAGAATTGGTACAAGCACAATCAAGTTCTCAGATTCCAACATCCCAATGACATTCTCATGGGCAACAGACTGTATGTTCATTAATCCTCATCCAATCGATCACTCAATCACTTACTCACTCAATTCACACTTTCAATTAATTAATATAGGGACTAAGGTACAAGGAGTTGCAGGATACTTGAGCAATAACTCATTGATTGTTGTTGTCAATGGTACATTCCACTTGCCAGATTTCTTTGCTTACAATATCGTGGTTGGCAATCATCCATGCCCTGTCACACAACAAAAGGTTGATGTACTTCAATGTACCATCACATCCTTTGTAGTTGACCCAACTGTCACCATGATGGCCAACATCTCAACACCCTATCAATCATTCATCCAATCAGCCTACACTCAGAGTATGTATCTACATCCAATTCCACACTCATGACCAATCAATCACTGACTCACTTATTCATTCAATCAACAACATAGACTTCCCAATTGTTACATACGCATCACCTTTTACTACTGAAGGTGGTACACTCCAATTGAAGGGATTCTTTGGATTAGGTGCAACAGTGGGTCAGATGACAGTCAACATCAATGGAAAGGATTGTCAACTACACAGTGGCGATGACACTCATATCCTAACACAAGTTGATGGTCCATTGCCAGTTGGATTCGCCAACCTCACAGTCACTGTCAATGGTGTCCAGTTCAAGTCTTCCAACATATTATACATTGGTAAGTTTAATGAATTGTTTGATTTATTGATCGTGGACTAACTCATCATCACAGACCCTGTTACCAAGGAGTTTAACTGTGGACCAAGATATGAGTGCAGTAAACATGGAACATGTGTTGATGGAGAATGTCAATGTTCGAATGGATATGGTGGTCAGATATGTGAGTTCCAGCTCAATCCGAATGTTGTCATTCAACCTTCAAACTCATCAACCAACTTGGGAAGTAGTCGTTCAAAGTTGGACTTCAACTTGGTGGAGATACAAGAGTTGGACCTATCTCGCAATGTCGTCAGATCGATATTGACCAACAAATGGAACTTTACCACATCAGTCAATGGTTCATTGACAACCTATCATTATGGAATGCTCCCCGCCTCATCATTGGAGGTGGCCGTTACATTCGAGTACTCGACCGAAGCAAGATCACTCACATTTGGTGGACTAGATGTAAACCTCGCACCTGGCGCACTCAAGATGACGGTGGACATCAATGAATGGCAGTTCGTCAACAACCTCAACTCATTGCGAGCAGTCTTTGCCAATCAGATGACCAACTTGACCGAATTCGAGGAGCCACAATGCGAGTTTGACTCGACCACCACGTACGACGACCCGCAATCCAAGAGTCTCTCGTACATCAAGGTCAGGTTTGAGGACACGGTGTACTTTGGTCGTTTCCTCCCCGTGGCCCTGGCCGATGGACGCGCTACACGTATCATCAACGAAGTGATCAACACGACTGGTTCGCGCACATCACAGCTCACCTACATCGGCATCAATCTACCACAGTGTCGAGCATGCAGGATCGATCCAGACTTCTCATTGTTGATCGATACACAACATGTGGAATGCCCGTCCGCCAAAACAAGTTGGTTGCTCATTGCCATTATAGTGCCAATTGGAGTAGTTGTCCTGGCTGTAATAGTAGCAGTTATATTATGTTATAGGAAGAAGATATCATATATTTACATGGCCAAGTTCAAAAAGAGTTCAAGTGTTGGCAGTAGCAAACTGAGGTCTGTGCCATCAAAACATAATTAAGTCTGGATTCACCAACACCCACATTAAAGTATTCAATTTTAAATATTCTGTTTGCAATGTTGTCCCTGTGTCAAACCAATCAATTTCACAATTTAGTTTAAATCCCAACATTATTGATAGACTCTATCACTTTGTCTATCACCTTGTTAAGTCATTGTAGTGTATATATAGAGATAAATAGGGATAAAGTTGAGGAATAATATCATTGTTTGTTTAATGTTTTTATTAGATCCAAAATGAGTAATAATAATAATAATAATAATGAGAAGAAGGGATCAGTTTTGTTTAGATTATATGATCCAATATCTTTGGACAAACCTTTGGTGTTTGGACCAAATCATGATCAAACTCAAGGACCTAATATTACAATTGGTGATCTTATGGCCAATGTGGCAACAAGTTGTAGCCGACCACCACAAGAGAAGAGTATAATCAACTCTAGAACTTTCAAAGTTGATCTCTCTTCACAGTCCACACATGTCAACGACCAAACTACCAATGACAATGCCAAGCCAATACCCTGCCCATGTATGGTCCCGAACGCCCTCCACCTCCTAGACCAAAGATATGTGTGACAACCTTCACCAATCCTTTGACTGCCTCTGGCACTACCACTTCTGCTCAAGGTGAGATTGGAAGGGATCTGTTCAAGAACATTGAGCTCCCAAGTAGTATTCAAGACAAAGATGGATTCATTGAAATGATGGTTGCATTGTCACACAATATCGTGGCTATCAACGAACAGGCCGAGAAGAAGAAGTAGAGATTGAGAGAGAGAGATGAGTGTCGGCCACGGCCAGGTGTACCCAACCATTATTGGTAATACTAAATGGTGAGTTACCAATAAACCAATCGATGTCATTGTCCACAATCAATGAATCGATCAACAACTTCATCGATCCATCATTCGTTCATTCATTTAATTAGTTGGCCTTGACTGACTTGATGGCCTCTGCCAATGCTGTAATCAATAACCTCACATTTGGCTTGTTGGCATTGAATCCCATCAGACTGGAGTGTTTGATTGATTGATTGATTGAATGATTGATGGGTCAGTATGACTGCGTCCTGTGACCTACATGGGGCAGAGTAGTACTTACCCAACTCTCCAAACCTTGCCAGCAAACTCGCCAAGACCTCCAGCGATCTCGATGTTGTAGTTGTCCAGAAGGTACTTCATTACAAGCTTGGCATCGACACCAGCTGGTACCTGAACGGTGGTCAAGCTGTACAGACGACCACCTTGCTCATAGCTGTTCTCACCGTCGGGGATCAGTGGCGCAGCACCAATCGACTCGAGACCCTTGTACAGCTCCTTGGCGGCATCCTGGTGACGTGCCCACACATTCTCCAGACCCTCCTCGCACACCATCAGCACGGCCTCACGCAAAGAGTATATCAAGTTGGCAGGTGTTGTGTGGTGGTATCTGCGCAGGGGCTTGGGTGAGGCGACACTGCTGTCGCTCAGGTTGTACTCTGGACACCAGTAGCCAGCGAGCAAGTTGGCGTCGAGGTACCAGTTGGCGACGGGTGTCTTCCTGGCGGCGATCTTGGCGCATGCGCGTGGGCCGAACGTCAGAGGGCTGATGCCTGGTGGGCCACTGAGGCACTTCTGGCCGCCAGTGTAACATGCATCGACCTTCCACTCGTCGGCAAAGAAGGGCACACCGCCCAACGCGGCAACAGCGTCGACCATCAGTAGACAGTCGTGCTCGCGACACAGCTGTCCAACACCGTCCATTGCCTGCTTGATGCCTGTGCTCGTCTCACCAAACACCATTGTGAGCAGACGAGGCTTGTGCTTGATGAGTGCCTCCTTGATCTCGTCGAGCGTCACCCACTGACCCCACTTCTTGTCGATCTTGTGGATGTTGGCGCCGTATCTCTGGGCCATCTGGTAGATCCTGTCGGAGAAGTAGCCGGCCACGCAGCAGACTACGTTGTCGCCGGGCTCGATCAAGTTGGCCACGCAGGCCTCCATGGCGGCGGTGCCTGCGCCCGACACGGGGATGGTGAAGTGATTGTTGGTCTGGAAGAGGTAGCGCAACATCTCCATGGTCTCGTCCATCACCTGGTAGTAGCCGGCATCAGTGTAGCCCACCATGTTTGTGGACAACTGCTGGTTGACACGTGGGTGCAAGTTCGATGGACCTGGGCCCAACAACAATCTCACAGGCAAACTGTTGATATGTGTCTTTATCCTATGCTCGTTGTTAACTTTAATCATTTCCTTTGTCATTCTTCCTTCCTTAATCTTTGTTTGTATCTTATATTTGATTTTGATTGATTGATTGATTGAATGAATGAATGATTGATTGAGTGAGTGTGATCACACTGGTTGTTATCTCTTAAGATGTGTCGAAGTTGAACGGTAAGATGTAATGAATGAAATTGACTCTGATAGGTTATGGGCTATTTGGGAATGCAACTAGACCCATTCCCCCCAATGATCATCAATCAGTTCGCACACCCACTCACTCATTCACCCAAAGTGTTGATCACAAACAATACCACCAATCCCAAGACTATCTTTGCCTAACTAACATATATTACAAAGTCTGTTATTTTAAAAAATCAACAAGAAATAAAAGATAAATTATTGATTGATTAGGTGATTATAGAGAATGGACACGATAAACATCCAATCTCTAATTGAACATAAAGTCTAGCAGAGGTTGAGCCCACCAGACTTGGTTTCTCATGGGAAAGGGAGGCCAACACGTTGGGGAGAAGAAGGAGATATTGTTGAACAGTAAACTCGGACAATTAACAATATGACAGAGAGTTACGGGTTGTTGCTATTGCAACAATCTTGATCATAAAGTAGATATTTTATCAAATAAGTGATCGAAATTGTTCATTTCAATCAATCTTTACAAAGATGATCATCGTTCGTCTTCCAAAATACAAACATATTACATAGAAAGTTAGAGAGATAGGATATGCAAGCAATAACAGAGACACCAAATGAGTTGACGACAGGGTTGGATAGTGTGTCACCACTGGAGATGATCAGATTGTTTAGACAGACTGATGGCCAGATATTTAGTGGCTACAGACATCACTCTGGTCTGAACGACAATGATTCAATTCAAACATTGACCAATATGATTGAATCAATCCGTGATCTTATACATCAGTCTTGTCGCAGTGACGGCAAAAAGACTGTGGATATCGTGGTCGCCGGTGCTGGCACAAGTGGACGTCTGGCCTTCTTCTTGGCCAACTCTGCCAGACGTTGGTCCACACCACATCTGACCAACAACGTCAACTACCACTACCTCATCGCTGGTGGAGATAGAGCACTCACTGTTGGCATTGAAGGCGCGGAGGACGACCTCGTTCGCGCCGTCACTGACATCGACGCCATACTCGCGCGACCCAACTCCACAGTCGTGTACATCGGTGTGACATGCGGCCTCAGCGCACCCTATGTAGCCGGCCAGATTGACAGACTGCTCAGCTGTGACAGCAGTTCTCAACGTCATATCATCTCACTGATGGGCTTCAATCCGATCGAGTTGGCACGAGTCAATCCAATCGAGAAGTGGGACAAGTCCTTTGCCGATGTGGCACGCGCCTTGGAGCAGAGCGCGCGTACTGCACCCACGAAGCGCTTCATCATCAACCCTGTGGTCGGACCCGAGCCACTCACTGGATCGACGCGAATGAAGTCTGGAAGCGCGACCAAGATCCTCCTGGAGCTCATACTCTCGATATCAATGTCGAGCAATCCAGATATCGACGTGTACGCCACCATCATCAACAGATTGAATGAGTACGAGCAAGTGTGTCGTGCAACATACAGACATGAGGACACCATCGCGCCATTGGTTGCAGCAGCCGGACACTCATTGCTGAGTGGCGGACATGTATACTACCTGGGCCAGGATAGTCTTGGCGTGGTCGGCTTTGTCGACGCCTCAGAGACAGTTCCAACATTTGGCGCTGGTGCATTTGACGTACGTGGATTCATACTGGACTCGGCCGATGGCAAGAGTGGATGGATGGCAATGCAGAACGCCGATGGTGATCACTCACACATATCTGAGGAGTACTGTATCTCCCAGGCTCACTTCCAAGACAAGATCATCCCAACTCTTACCTCACGCGACACAGTCATCTTGATCGCGCCACCAGTGGCTGTTGGCGGCATCGATCTCATTGCCCTCGCGCCAATAGTCACGGCCATTATCAAACGAGATCAAACATACGACAACATACCAAGTATTCACTTGATCATGTTCCCCGCGACCAATCCCCCCTTTACACAGCTGGTCCTTGGGAACAAAACTACAAACATCAACATCCAACTACCATTCAAGGAGATTGATGGCGTGCCATCATATATCGAGATGTCATTGAAGTGGATATTGAACGCAGTGACGACCGGTGGCTTTGTACTGGCCGGCAAGGTGTTTGGAAACAGAATGATCGACTTGGGATTGACAAACAACAAGCTATACTATCGATCATGTGGCATTGTTGCCAAGTTGTTTGGCGTAGACGACAACACCGCCAGACAGTGTCTACTCCGTTCAGTATACAGCCTGGACAAGGACACGCCAGTGCCAGCCGACATCGACACTGCGCCAGTCTACAAACACATCGAGCATGCCGAGCGCAACAACATCACTCACATCATTCCAGTGGCCCTGTTATTGGCTTCCGGCCATTTCCAATCGCCAAGTGCTGCTCGCGAGCTCCTAAGACAGACTCCATCAATTCGCAAGATCCTCAATGACGCCATGGCCAAGTCGTCGTAGTCCTCGTAGTCCTCGCCATCGTCGCTGTCGACTCATAATAAAGTTAACTTAAGTTTAAAGGATAACAACACCATGTGTTATTGTTATTGATGTCAATGATTGCGTGTGTGTGGATTGAGGAGCAAGACTCGCGCAAGCTCGCCTTTTAGAACCTCTCAGAGATACGTGTGGCCACAGTTCTAAGCTTGGCGTAGACCTTTCCAGGCGGCGAACCCATAATCAAGTTACAGATGGCGTCCTTGGCAACACGGATATTGGCATATGATCCTAAAATATGGATACGTCTGATTGATTGGGATTGGATGGATGGATGTGTTAGGCGATCAGTTAAGTCAATCAATCAATTCATCAACATACTTGTCAGCCAACACTATTCTTGTCTTGGTAGTGTTCTCAATGGTAAACTTGGTCTTGCCGTCCTTTCCAGCAATACGTCCTATAGCACGTGACAGGTTATCTCCCTTCAGTGTCTTTACATCTTCAATATCGAATGAGTCTATATATAAATCGTCGAGCCTCAGCAGAGCAATGGCGTCCTGTGTGTTCATGATGGGATCAGGGTCAGTATGATGGACATCAAGTTGGTCGCGTGTCTTCATCCACTCCATCGATTAACTCAAACCTACATTAACTTCGAAACCAAGAGCAAAGGCATGTACAAAGTCAGAGGCCTTCTGCAATGCACCTGGATTCAGTGTACCCTCTGATGTCTAAGATTGATTGATTGAGTGAATGAGTGAGTATAATGATGTCGATCAATCATTCAATCAAAGGTTTAGGACACATACTCTAATCTCGACCTTCTTTGATTGAAGGTTCATTCTGATTTGTAGCTTAAGATGGTTGACGATTGGTTCATAGATCTGTTGCCAGTTACCCTTGAGTGGTGCCATTCTGTTGGGTGGGATTGTAATCTTTCTAATTTGTACTCCTCCCTGTATAATGATGATGTACACGTTAGCATATTGATCAATCAATCAATCAATGATAATAGACA